CTATTATATCTACTATATTTAATATATAAGTGAGATCTAAATGCTAAATCTATTTCTAATCTATTTCTTCTACGGTACATTTACCCACTCACATCTTATAAGACTATATATAAGATCGTTGACACTGACTTCTTTTATGTCACTGTCTTCAGATGGTTTTCTAACGTTTCTTTCTTGTCCATATGAATAAATATATAGAAACACAGGCAGCAGATCGTGCTCACGATATAAGTCAATAGAAAAATCTAGAATAAAGCGCAGTCAATGGCTTAAGTCAATCATTATTCATTATTCAATCATAATCATTATTTCTCTATATACAAAGAATATAAAATCTAACTATAGCATATGCTCTGGAGGTTATCAAAAAGTAAAGTAAGTAGGAAATAATTCATAGATCTTGAATGTCTTGAAATAATTGTATTAAAGTTTGTTATTGCATACCACCTGATTCATAGAAGTAGCATAGATATCCAGAAATCCTTTTCGTCTGCTCCTTCTTTGATTCCAGAAAAACAACTGACGGAGTAGCTGACATTTACTTTGGCAAACCGTCCAAATGTTGGGCTGTTGTAGATAAGATTGAGAATCATAGACTGATTATGACTTTTTTGCAATACATATAACAATTCTCTTTTTTTGTTGTTGCAGTAAATAAAAATGCTTAAAGAATTAATGGAGTTTCCGGAATAGAAGCACATATAAATGTCCAGAGGCGCATGGAATGATATCAAACTCCCTTAACTTTCCAGTAAATCAATGCTTGGCGCTACATTTAGGTATAAATATGAAGGCATACGTAACACTTGGCTTGATATGATTCTTAGAGTTTCCGAATGTTTGTGACGCAAGCAAAACGAATTTGCTTCTTGTCACCCCGTTGGCATTTGCTTTGGTAACGGAAATGCTTGAGCTCTAAACGTTATCGTGAGGGTTTGCAAATTCTGAAGGCATTTCAACAGTTATTGTTGTTACTAAGCTCAGCTAAATGTTGTTTGCCTGCAATACACATATTTCCCAACTTGTATACACATTCACGTGAGTGAAATGAGTATATTGGTTTTGAGCAATGTCCACTGCCTTACCCATAGATAGTTTTACAATAATAATATGCTCCAATGGTGTAATTCGTGTTGAAGTCATATCTATTTCAATCCTTTCACGATCAACTCAAACCGATTTCTTGCTAGAATAACCCATAATAAAGTTTGCCCTATCGAAAGTGTATTCAAGTATTAGAAGTTACAGAATTACAATCTCAACGAATATCATGCATTTCTTGTCGCTTAATGTGTAATGAGTGAATACTCTGCGTTTGCTAGCTCATTTGTGACATTCTCATTTAATTATTATGATAATTTCCACGGCTCGGAGTTGTTTTGGCCATAACTGCCAGCCGTTTCGGCTGTGTGCGACTGTTGCGACCTGAAGGCCATCATTGCTTGTTTTTCAGGCATTTATTTGTTTTATTTTTGTTTCATTTGTTTTATTTTATTTTTTTTTTTGTTCGCTCCGCTTACATTTTTATTTTATTTTTTTCTTCTGTCACAAATATCTTGGGCACGTTTTTGAAGTGCCTGCGAGGCGCCCTTAACCAGCATAAGCAACAACATCATCAACAGCAGCAGCAGCAACAACAACAATAACAATAACAACAACAGCAACAACAACTTTAAGCTTACTGACAGTTAATTTTTCGGAGAAAAACGCCAGAGTTTCTCGCAATTTTATGATCAATTCATTGAATTTTTCGTTGGTTTTTGTTGTTTTTGTTTCTGCGGTGCAAAAAGAAGCAGAGAAATCATCAGCACACACGACGAAGGCGACAACAACAACAACGACAACACCAGCGAGTTAAAATATTGTTGCTCTTTATTAGCTGTGCAACAACAACAATAACAAACAATCTCGTAAAGTCCTCTAGTTGGAAGTGTTTTTTAAATGATTTAAGTAGATAGATGTACACTCACTCTTATAAGTGCTCTTATACTTATACTTATACTTATACTTATACTTATACTTATACTTATACTTATACTTATACTTATACTTATACTTATACTTATACTTATACTT